TTTCAGATGATGTATTCATCTAGAATTAAGGGAAATTTTGACAAAAACTTCTTGTTTTACTTGAAGAACAAAAGAAAAATAAAAGATCAAACAAAAAATCGATGTGTATTCTATTACAAAGTGTCTTTCTTTTTTTTTTATCTCTCTCTTTTAAATGATGATTTTCTTTTTTTAAAAAGTTTGTATTATTTGCCACTTATTTCGTCTTTGAATATATCCATGAATTCAATCATATGAACTAATGTATGCATATAGATTTGAAATAAATATTACATCATTGATGATCGTTTTAGAATTGTAATCAAAAATGTGAATGACCACTTTTATGATTTGGATTAATACTTGTATTACTTGATACTTGGGAATTAATAAAAGCTGATGGATCAGCATATGTTGAATCTTGAGATAATAATTGATGATGTTCATTCTGTGATGGTTGATAAACATCATACATATCCTAAATAGAAAAAAAACATTTAAATTTAAGTTGTCTGAATAAGATTTTAATATACTTACAGGTTGAGAAAAGTCTTGTTGTGAAAGACCATATGCATGTTGAGACATAAGACCACTTTGTGATATTGGATATGGTTGACTTATCGTACCACCTTGTGTAAAACTTGGATTATCCTAAAATAAATACATTTATTAATCTTTATTTAAATTAACTAAACGAGTTTATACTTGTGATTGTGTTGCATTATTTCTTGAAAAACGTGGTGGTTTAGATGGATTTTTTCCTCTTCCACCAACTCCTCCTCCTCCTCTACCACCTCTAGCTGCTGTTGTTTGATTATTCATTTGTCGATCTAAATATAACAAAAAAAAAACAGTTTTTTCGTTTTTCTCTTCTTTTAACTAACCGTTCATCATAGGATTAAATTGTGGTGGTCCACCCATATATGGCATTGGCATAGCAGGCATCATCATTTGATGTGGCATTGGTAAATTAAGACCATTTGGTGGTTGAGACATACCACTCATTGCTCCAGTATCAATATAACTTAATGGATCATGAGTACGAAGATTTGAACCAAAAGAATTGCCATACATTGGTCCATTCATTTGACGTTTATCACCCATTGTAGATGTTCGATCATAGATTGAACCTGGAATCATAGCTTCTTTAGCTGAAAACATTGCATTTGACATAAATCGACCACCAGGATTAGTTGGATTAACAAGTTTTTTTGGTTTTGAAAATTGTATAGCACTTTCTTTAAGATTATTTAATGGACCTTCAACAAGTACATGTTGTTCTTTATAATATGTTAATAAATGATTCCATAATGGTTGACGTGATAGAACTTTTGGATTACCAATTATAATGATACCATATCTATAAAAAAAAAATGATATTATTGATATTAAATTTAAAGAAAACGAAACAATAAATTTACTTTGCTCGTGTTAATGCAACATTAAGACGACGTGGATCATTTAAAAATCCAATACCTTGATGTTCATTAGCACGTACACATGATAATATAATAAAATCTTTTTCACGTCCTTGAAATGCATCAACACTAGCAACTTCAATATCTTGATATAATTTTTCGTTTAATGAACCACTGTATTGCATATGTTGAACAATAAAAGCACGTTGTCCTTCATAAGGTGTTATTATACCAATTTGTTCTGGTTTTATACCGGCTTTAAGTAAACGTGTAGCAGTTTTTTCAACCATATTTGCTTCAGTTCGATTAAGATACGATGTACCACTACTTGAAATTTCTTCTTGACCCAAGGAACAATGAAAAAACATTGGTTTATCCGACTGAATCCATGGAAAATCTAAACCTTTTATTGTACGTTCAGACGATGTTACACCATTTTGAAGTGAACCTGAAAGAAGAAAAGCATTCATTTCTTATCTACCGATGAACTATTAACAGTTTCAAACCTTCATAAAAAATATTTGATGGAAATGCTGATAAAGCTGGATGCATTCGATATTGTACTTGTAATCTAATTGGACGAATACCAAGTACGACAAGACGTTCAAATAACGATTGACTAAGGCCAGCTTTTGCTGCTTTTTTACTCATAACTACAGGTCCTAATTGACAATGATCACCAACTAATATAAGTTGTCTAGCACCAAGTACAACTGGAACCATACATTCAGGTTCTGTTGCTTGTGTTGATTCATCAATAAGTATTGAACGAAATTGATAACCATGTGATAAACGTGGATCACCCGAACCAACACATGTACAACAAATAACATCAGCATTACGAAGTAAATCACTTTCACATTTACGTTTTAATGTTCGATAACGTTTTTCATCAGCCGAAGATAATTCACCTGTTTCATCTTTTAATTGTTGTAATTTTTTTAATTCAGGTTCACTATATAGAGATAAGAAAAAAATGAAATATCAGTTATAAATAATTTCAGACTTTTTACCTTTCAAGATTTCGTACTTGATTGTGTAATGCTAAAAATGATACAGGTGAATCTAAAGCTTCACGACTTTTAGCACATAAACGAACAACTTTTAAGCCAGTTTTATGAATTTTTTCTGTTAATTGATCAACTGCAATATTACTTGGTGCACATACAAGTACTTGTCCCTGATTTTGTTTAACAAGATGATAAACAATAGTTGCTGATGTAACAGTTTTTCCTGTTCCCGGTGGACCTTGAATAAGACTTAGTGGACGTTGAAGAACAGTTTTAACAGCATAAACTTGTGAATGATTTAATTCAGGTAAACCTGGTGCTGAAAAACGTTTTGGTAATGTTACTTTCATAACTAAATCTTCAACTTCATGACCTAATAAACGATGATATAAATAAGCTGAAACACTGTTTTCATCGACAGCAAATGTTTTTAATGATGCTTGCATTCTAAAAGTAAATATAAAATAACGTTTCTTATTTTGTTTTTGTGAAATTAGAAAGATTTTTACCGATCGAATGATGTTGATTTCCAAACAAATTCTACTACAAAATTTGCACTAAATTCAACTGGTGCACCTGAACTTATTTTTAATTCAATTCCAACTTCTTCACCATAATCTAAATTCGAATTGATTAATTAATTGATAATAAAAAATATATTTCTATAATTTTTCTTACTATTTGGAACTTTAACAACATGTCCAACACCAGCCCATGCTGATTTCATTTGATCACCAACATATCTTAAACGTAATTCATCACCTGGCATTAATCTCATTTCTAAAACAAAAAATTTTAGTATTTGAAATATTCTTATATTTTGATTTACCTTCATTTGCTTTTGGTAAACAAAAATAAGCTAAACGTTTTTTATTTAAACCCATATCCCATCGGACAGATATATTTTCTTGTGTTTGAGATTCTTTAATTTTTCTATCATCATCAGCTTCCATTTTAACTAATGGACCAAATATATTTTGATATTGATAGGCATCTTCATATCTTAAACTACATTGTTGTGGTTCTTCATCAATACCAGGTTTTTCAAGATCAGCTATAGTTGCATCAGGATTTTCTTTCCATAGTTCTTCTAAACGATTTATCATTTGTGCTGTTATTTGTCGAGCACGTAATTGTTCTTGTTCAGAAGGAATTTTAACAAGCCAGGTTAAAAAACATCGATCTTGAATTAATGGTTGCCATTGAGTTGGATCCCTAATAAAATTCAAAAAAAATTATTTTGTTAAAAGTAATTATTTGATTTATTTACCAATTCATATCTTTTAATGCACTTTGACTTGCAC